ACAAGATCACAATCCATCCTGAGCTTGGGAAATCACGTTCTGTCCTTGACTTCTAGCCAGCCCCGTGGGTCTGATGCAGAACACATTATTGTGCCTTCGAAGGCACAATAATGTGTTCTGCATCAGACCCACGGGGCCCGAAGCCCCTAGTGTCTTTATATAGGGTTTAGGGTTTGTAGGGTTTAGGGGTTTGGGGTTTAGGGTGGTTTATCGTTTAAGGGTCTGGGGTTTAGGGGTTTGGGGGTTTAGGGGTTTAGGGGTTGCACTATAATATAAAGCCGCCTAGCCTCAATCACGAAACCCTGTCATGGTTCAGAAATCACTGCCCAATTCCTCCGATGATCCCTGTGTCTTTGGAACCCTAAACCCTGGATCCATATAAACCCTAAACCCTATAAACCCTCAACCCTAAACCTAAGATGAAACCGAGACCCGAGTAGCTAATACCATGAAATATCTAATTCTGACTTATTGAGTATTCCTCCCACACAAAGTATGCCAAGGCCCGATGGGTGATTCCTCTGCTGCAGCTATAGGCAGATCTGGGTCGAGGCTCCAGGTGCCTGTGAGTCGTGGTTTCTGGATGCCGTTGAGGATAAACCTGGGTTTCTCATATGGGGCTGCAATTCGAGCTGATGGCTGCTCCTCTGCCGCATATTAAAGTTAATGGCTCTGCATGATTCAGCATGTCGGTCTCGTAGCCTACTGCCATAATTGATCTTTCCTAAGGTATCCCATCGGTGACAATTCGAAACTGGGCTGTGCAGACCCTACAAAAGGGCAGCGTGAAAAAGCGTGAAATGTACGTTATTATCAAGCTAATGAGCGCTATTATGCGTGATTCAGCGTGGGATTTTTTCACACCACACCCAAACGTCTTTTCTGTGCTATATCAGGCTCGATCGTACGTGTGTGGATTTGAGTGACTCGGTGCTCCTTTGGGGGACCATGGCCCGTGACAGGGGCTTGGAAGAAGCTCTCAAGAGGGGCAAGCTTGTTCGTGATGGCATCAAAGCTTTGAAGGAGCATAAGGCCGAAGAGAAACGCAAGGGAAACAAGAGCTCCTCAAGCTCGGGTGCCTCGGGACTTTCGATAGCCTCCCACTCCAATCCTCATGGAGTCCCAGCTGATCCACCGATCCCTTTGGATGAGAGGCTTTCGGGTGAACGCTCGCTTACCTTAGAGGAGCTTATGGTTTCCGAGCGTTTGACTTATGCTGATGCTGTGGTTGTCTTTGAGAATGTTCGAGAAGGCTTGCGAGAACAGGAGGCAGCTGCAGCGAAAGCAAAACCAGCCAAGGCCAATAAGACCCCCAAGGTGAAGGAGAATGCCAAAGCAGAACCCAAGCGGCTTCACAGGTCAAGGGCAAACAGCCACCTTTCAGAGGAAGAGGAGCCAGAGGAGGACAAGGAGAAGGAGGAGGAAGAGGAGCCAATCGGTGTGACCATTGCCCCCAAGGCCCGTGCTGCCAAGCCCAAGACGTGCAACAAGCCTCGAAAGACCAAGGTTGCCGAGGAGGAGCCCGCAGAGGAGGAACCCAAGTCCCGCAGTGCAAAGTCCAAGGCTCGAAAGGCCGAAGTGGTTCCCGCCGAGGAGGAGCCCAAGCCCCCGTGCAGCGCAAAGTCGAAGCGAAAGGCCGAAGTGGTTCCCGAGGAGGAGCCAGTGGAGGAGCCCAAGTCCCGGTGCAGTGCAAAGTCCAAGGCTCGAAAGGCCAAAGCGGTTCCCGCCGAGGAGGAGCCCACAGAGGAGGAGGAGCCCAAGCCCAGTGCAAAGTCCAAGGCTCGAAAGGCCAAAGCGGTTCCCACCGAGGAGGAGCCCACAGAGGAGGAGGAGGAGGAGCCCAAGCCCAGTGCAAAGTCCAAGGCTCGAAAGGCCCAAGCGGTTCCCGAGGAGCCCACAGAGGAGGAGCCCAAGTCCCGGCGGTGCAGTGCAAAGTCAAAGGCTCGAAAGGCCGAAGCGGTTCCCGAGGAGCCCACAGAGGAGGAGCCCAAGTCCCGGTGCAGTGCAAAGTCAAAGAAGGCTCGAAAGACCGAAGCGGTTCCCGAGGAGGAGCCCACAGAGGAGGAGGAGCCCAAGCCCCCGCGCAGTGCAAAGTCAAAGAAGGCTCGAAAGACCGAAGCGGTTCCCGAGGAGGAGCCAGAGGAAAAGGAGCCCAAGCCGTGCAGTGCAAAGTCAAAGAAGGCAGGAAAGGCCAAAGTGGTTCGCGAGGAGGAGCCAGCTGAGGAGCCCGTGTCCCGCAGTGCAAAGTCGAAGGCTCGAAAGGCTGAAGTGCTGGAGGAGCCACAGGAGGAGCATGTGGAGCCGAAAGCAAGGAAGAGCAAGCAACGCAAAGCCAACAAACTGTCACCAAAGAGCGTCTACACACCGCCGAAAGTCCGTGTGAACTCTAAGAGCAAGCCCAACAAAAGGCCAAAGCCAGCCCTGGATGAGGACGAGGTCGCAGTTGATTCGGATGCTGAGAGGATGGCAGAAGTGGAGGCGATGCTGGAAGAAATCGACAGGGTGAGTGAGGCCAGATCGGCAAGCACAAATAAGAAGGCGGAGGAGCCGTTTCCCGAGACCTTGGTGGATCCGGCCCCAACTGAGGTGGAGCCGATGGAGGAGGATGAAGCAGAGGGAGACGAGGAACAGGAGGAGGCCGGTGATGAAGCAGAGGGAGACGAGGAACAGGAGGAAGCCGGTGATGAAGCAGAGGGAGACGAGGAACAGGAGGAGGCTGTTGATGAAGCAGAGGGAGACGAGGAACAGGAGGAGGATGGTGATGAAGCAAAGGGAGACGAGGAACAGGAGGAGGCCGATGATGATGATGATCAAGGTGGTGCTCCGTGGCTCGACTTGTTTAACCCTACACCCTGAAAACCTCGAATGCCCGCATGTTTGTATGTATGTATGTATG